GAAAGAGACGAGCGCGTCTTCCTATTTGCCATCCAAGAGACCACCGATCCGTGTGGTCTTGGACGGGCCATCGCCCAGGGCAACCTCCTTGACCGGGACCTCATCGCACGTGACTATCCGCTGCCTCGGGGCGGCGGGGGCGGATGTGCCAATCCTCTCGTCGCCACCCTCGGGCTTGGACACGACGGCGAGGCGGTCCGCGCGCTGCTCCATACAAGCGAGCGCGACTTTGAGGTCGCCATGGACAGAGATGGGGCCATCGGGGCCCGGCATCTTCATCTGGAGGTAGGCGTAGTGGACCGCCGCCATGAACTTCACCAACGCGGGCCTCCCCAGGACCGCGTTGTAGGGCAGACTGAGGTCCGCCACATCGAAGTTCACCCGCTCCGTGCGGAAATTGGCGGGTCCACCGAAGGTGACCGGGAGGTCGATATGACCTAGCGGCCAAGTGTGCCCCGGCGTCACGCCGATGATTGGCTGGGACGGCCGGAGCATCATCCCCGGGGCCTTGATGGCATCAAAGGCTGCGGGGGAAAGGATGTTGAGGGCTGCTCCTCCATCAATGAGGACACGCCCCAACTTCACGTTGCAAACGGTGGGAGAAACCACCATCGCAATCTGCCCTCCCCGGGCAACGCACGGTGGGTGGTCGGTCTGGTCGAAAGTGAGGGCAACCTCCGACCACCGCGCCCGGCGCGTCGCCTCATGAGTAGGGGCCGCGGCCAGAAGCTCTCGCTTCATGGCCTTGAGGCTCCGGCGAGAAACATGCGCACACGCTCCTCCATCGACAGTGGCAATGGTGGCCCCAGGCTCTTGGAAACCTAGGTCATCATTGCCATCATCGATGTCCTCGGCGGGGGCCTTCTGCTTGGCCTCACTTCGCCGATGGCCGGAAGGAACCGCCGGGGACTTGCCTTCCCGGCGCTCCTGCCTCCTCTCCTCCTCCCACTTCCTTGTCCGCTCAGCCAAGCTTTTGACTGCGCGACAGTCCGCAAGGTCATGGAGGGAGGTATTGTGGACGGTGCACCACTTGCCGGTGGGGCGCTCCCTGCTGGGAGCACTGGCCTCCTTCTTTTTGTCGCTCGCAGGCCTCCCCTTTCGGGTGGCCCGCGAAGCGCCCTCGACGGCGAGGACATGACCCTCGTCGTCGGAACGGACTGACCTCTTCTTCCTCCTCCTGTCACGCCGCCCTGTCTGAGCGGCGGATCCGGGGGCGGCCGAAGCTGCCACACCGGAACCGGAGGGGTTCCAAGTCCAGGCCTCCTCCTTGCGAGCCACTCGGTCCGCGAGCTGAAAAAGCTCCGCGGTAGTCTGGGGCTCTTTGGAGGCGATCTTTTCGAGCATGCGGTTGTGCCGCACGCCCCCCCTGAACGCGTAGATTACCGCGTGTGCAGGGATGCATGGTATGGTATTGCGGACTTGACAGAACCGCTGAATGTACGATCGAAGTGACTCATCGTCCCTTCGCTGTACGGCGTGCAAGTCCGCTTCCTCACCGGGGCGCGGATATGTGCCTTGGAAGTTCATGGTGAACTGTTGGCACAAATCCTCCCAAGAGTGGACAGATGCAGGTGGCAAGTTCATTAGCCAACCCCGCGCCTGCCCCTTCAGGGCCATGGGAAAGAAATTCGCCATGACCCTGTCGTCACCCCCGGCGGCCTCAATCCCGGTCGTATAGACCTGGAGAAACTCGGCGGGGTTGACGCTGCCATCATATTTTTCGGCGATGGTGGGCCGGAACCTTGGGGGCCAACGGACATTCCGAAGACTCGCCACAAAGGCTCTACAGCTGACACCACCAACCGGGGGCACGGAGGGCTGATTCCCACGTCCGTGTCGAGGTGACACTCTGGACGAGGAAGCGCCCTCCGTTGCGTGGGCAGCACTTCGGTCATTACGCCGGCGCTCGATGCTGGCGCGGGCGTCCTGCTCCCCACGCAGATCTTCCCGGGTCGAAGGAGTCGACGAAGGAGTGGCAGCCGAACGGCGAACAGCGGCTGCTGCTCGTCGTGCCCTCCGTCTTGACGACGCGGAGCCGGTGGTAGCAGCACCAGAGGTCTTGGTGGCGGAGGACCGCCCACCAGCATCTAGGCGCTGCCGCGCCGTCATGACCAATTTGGCCACGTCGTCCAGCCATCGTTGGGCTGGAGACTCCGGGTCAGGGACGACAGGCGGGTGGCGTAAGAGCGCGCCCGCAGCTTGGAGCGCACCCTGGGGCGTGTTGCCGTCGCCGTAGACGAGGAGGCGACGCTCCCCATCTTGCCGCTCTTTTCCATCACCCGCGATCGGTGAAGTCGCGGATCTTTCGACCCTCTCGAGCGCCTCCCCCCGTTTAGGACTTTGGCGTGGAGGGGGCGGTGGAGTACGAGCTCGACGGCGTGGGTTCGGCTCCCCGTCGTCGCCACTCACACTCGGAGAGTGGTCGTGCGCCTTTGCTTGCTCGGCCATCAGGCTGAACTGGAAAAGCTTGGCGCACAGGGCAGAGTGCGAGAGCTCAGAAGACACACGCTGAGCCCCCTACCTGGCGCGCCAGATGACGGAGCGCGGGGCTCCTCACCGGGAGACCGCACAGGCCCCCCTTTGCCGGTTCGGCCGGGGGCTCAGGGTGAGATCCCAAGCTCTCTCTGTATGTGGAAAGATCGCGACCTACCGAAAGAGCATGAGACACAAACGACGTATACAGGTTCGGGCCGCTGAGAAGCGTAATAACCTACTCCTGTGTTTTGGTGGATCTAAGTATGAAGGAGCTACAAAGTGTGAGCCAAACTCTCCCTTGTTCTAGGTCCCGAATCTGGAAAAGATCATCCTCCCCTTTTTCCCATGGGCAAGGTCCTCCTTTTATACTTCAAGGGGATACCACATGCACCCCTCTCTTTCCAAACTGGACTTTTCTTCTCTTCATAAATGGACGGAGATTTGCACGGTTGTCCTCCGAACATCCTCCTGACGGGACGGCACACACCTACCTCCACTTCTGCCGGAGGCAGGCGCGTCGTGGGAATGTGGCTGTGTGCTGACGACATGAGCAGTGTCAGACCGGTCACAAATCGGTCATTCTTGTCCACCACGCGTCAGCTTAGCAACGTGCATGTTTGCCCTTCTTCACACAACATCTTGCCTGTAATGGTTAGGATGAAGCCTGGCATATATCGACCGGGGCTAACGTGCCATCTCTGGGATGTAACACGCTAGCTCCAGCTGGGGACGAGTGCCTAGAAGCTCTCGTCTTGACGGGATGGGGCGAAGCGTGCGTCAGACCGCCTGTCGCCACCTAATCCGCGATCTGACCGGTCTGTGACTGGTCACAGACCGGATAAACGAGTGCACTGCACTGCACTTCGTGCGGTGTGACACGTTTAGCCGAGGCGCAATAAATGCGGTTAGGTGAGCCCCGCTGTGCTCACCTAACCCATACACGCGGAGTAGAACCCGCGAGGGGTCGGGGCGCCTCGGCCCTCGGGGGCGAGGCAGGAGTGGTCCGACCCCCCCCTCGGGGAGACCAAGAGGTGGGCGCACACATCACCCTCGGGCCCGACGTCCCCCGAGGGTGCCAGGCCACGTGGGTGATTGTGTCTGCCTCAAGCCTCTAGTCATGATACTCCCGGTCCCATGTCACCGACAGACGTGGTTCTGGTTTATATTTAACGATGGAGTTTATATAAGCAGGTACAATAGCAGATTATAAGCTAGCTATAAACATATATCAAGAATATAAAAGAGGAGAGAAAAGAGCAATGGGCTACAGATTCGTAGCCAGCTGCATCACGGACTGCAAGACGCAATGTGCGTATGACAGGTGGGACCAGGTATCAATAGTGTAATATCGTATGTATGTATGTATTGACTATTAAATTATTATAGATGATTTGGAGTTAATAGTTGGCTATACTATTCAACTTGCTCTAATTTATAAACATTGTCATCGCTGCTGGTGGAGAGCGATCGAGATTGAGTCCCAATGCCTTGCCTCATGTTGAAATTATGATAGGCATGAACTTTGAGAAAACAATGTGTCATCGTTTGCAGTGGAATTTTAAATTTGATTGACAACTGAGTCACAAGGTTCAACAAGTGTTTGGTTTCCAATTTGCTTTTGTAGATTTATGCAACTTTCGAGTTAGTAATGATTATCAACAGTAGCCAACCTTTTGTACTAATTGATATAGGAAAAAGTATGAATTACCCCCCTAACTATCACGGTCGACCGAATTACCCCCTAAACCCGAAAACCAGACATTGCTCACCCTGAACTTTCAATACCGGACGAATTACCCCCCTCGACTCAATCTGGAGCGGTTTTGTCCTACATGGCGTACGCGTGGCAATCCAGTCTGCATTTTCTTTTTTAAAAAGTTGTGGGACCCATCTGTCATGCATCCCCTTCCCTATAGATGGCCATCTGGGCCGCCCGGCACGGCACGGCCCAAGCCCGGCCGTGCCTGGGCCGAGGCTTGTCGGGCCGGCACGGCCCGACCGATGCACCGTGCCTTGCCGTGCCAGCCCACGGGCGACATACACGGCCCAGGCACGGCCCAATACTAGTCGGGCCGTGCCGGGCCGGCCCGAAGGCACGATGGGCTATTGTGCTGCCTCACAGAAAGAGTTTATATTTGGTCCCTCAACTCTGTGGGCTGTGTTTAAATGGCTGGAAATAAGTCTATTTTTGGTCCCTCAACTCTGTGGGTTGTGTTTAAATGGCTGGAAAATAAGTCTATTTTGTATACCTATTTTCTTGGGCCATGCCTTATACGATTATATAAGTCTATTTTTTGTCCCTATATTTTTTTTATTTGATCGGGCCGTGCCGGGCCGGCCCACCGTGCCGAGGGTGCAGCCCAGGCACGGCCCGGCTGTCGGGCCGGGCCGGCACGGGCACGACCCTAGTCGGGCCGGGCCGTGCATGGGCCGGGCCAAAATTGCGGGCTTCGTGCCGGGCCGTGGGCCTCGGGCCATATGGCCATCTATACCCTTCCCCTCTTCCTCTCTCTCCACACACACTCTCTCTCTCTCACGGGGTGCGCAGGGGGAAGGTGGGCGGCGGCGCCACGCGAGCGGCTGTGGCGGGCGCGGCTGGGTGGCGAGCGGCGGCGGCGACACCACCTCCTCGCCGCAGCCGCTCCTCCCCTTCCTTTCCCCTTCTTCCTCCAGGTCCGGCGGTGACGGCGCGGAGGAGCCGCCGCGGGGGCGTTGTCCTTCGTCACGGCCAGTGTTCGCGCACAACGCGCGCGTGGTGGCCGCGGCGGCGTTCATGCTCGACCTCGGGGGCCTCCTGGTGTTCGCCGTGCTGCATTGGCCTTGCCTGTGCGTGCTATTGGGGGATTGATTGGTTTTGGTTTGGAACGATTCGGGCGCCATGATCCGGAGGAGGATTCAGTGAACTTCCGTCGCGGTTGCTCTCCGACCGAATTTTCACGGCCGTATTTTTCTTTCGGTGGATGGTTTTTGTGTCATGGGGAGTTGCAGCGAATGGATGCGATGTAGCCACGCGTGATTCTTGCGAGGTCGAAGGGCAGAGTGATGGATCTAGTAAAAGAAGTGAGAGTTTTCCTATCTGATTATCTCGTCCTCCATGGCATTCATGATCATGAAGCCTAGCTTTGGCTATAATTGATACGGAGTGTTAGTTTCCATCTACATCTGCATTATGATGCCGACGCTTAAAGTTCTTTTCATTCATACTTTTGCAAAGCACACCAGTAATGCAAACAGTCTTATAGTCTTATGTGATGATACCTTCAGTGCAAAAGTTATTCTGAAGACTGACAAGCCGGCAGCGAGAGGAGGAAGAAGGGGAGAGGCCGGCAGCTGGCCAAGGCAAGCTCCTCGTCGTCGTCGTCCGTGGCCTCGTCGACGGCGTCGTGGGCCAGCGGCTCCACCGTCATGGACTGGGTGAGCCCCGAGACACCGTCTCGCGCCGCTGCCCACTGCCCAGCCCCGCGCGCCGCCGTCTACCGCTCCCTCGTCTCGCGCCGCCGCCTCACCTCGCGCCCCAGCCTGCCCCTCCGCGCCGCGAAGGTGAGGTCGGAGCGGTCGCAGACGCGGTCGACGGCTCCTGCCGGTTCCCCCTCCTCGTTTCGCGCCGTCGCCGCCGCACATCGCCGTGCGCGCCTGCGGCCACGCGAGAGAGAGATTAGGAATATTTGAATAAGTGAAGAGGAGGTACGACAGATGGGTCCCACTATATTTTTTAAAGAAAAATGTTGACTGGATTGCCACGCGGACGCCACGTAGAACAAAACCACTCTAGATTGAGTCGAGGGGGGTAATTCGTCCGGTACTAAAATTTTAGGGTGATCAATGTCTGGTTTTCTAGTTAGGGGGTAATTCGGTCGACCATGATAGTTCAGGTGGGTATTTCGTACTTTTTCCTTTTTTTTTTAACTGCAAAATGACATGGATGGAGATAGATGTAGGCAGCAGTGAACTGCACTGAACCCGCTCTTATGTACAACATTTACCTGACGTCTTGCATATATATAACCAGTGCGAAACCTTGATTCATCATTTGGTTTGCTTCTTGACATCACTCCTTTTGATACACACGCTGCTCAAGTTGCTATGAGGTCCAATCACTAGAGCTCGTGCCAGACAATTAAATTTACAGGTGAGCTTGTTACTAAGTACTTTTTTATATGCTCTTGAGGATAGAATACTACCTAATGATTTAATTATGATTAGTAACTATGGGAGAAGACCATGAAGATAGACAAGGTCATTATGGACGTAAGTCAAGATGAAGGTCTGACCCATATCTAGTTCGAGTCTACTTCGGGCTCCAGTAGCAGCCCACACTAAATTTGTCGCCCAGGTTGCATTCAGACTCCGATTTCTACGTTCTACGTATGTATGGAAAGCAGACGAGACCACCTTTCTAATGGATCTGGCCCTACGTCAAAATTCCTTCCAAGTCATTAGGAATCTTCGCAACAAGAAAGATTTCAGAATCTGTCCAGGTGCTGCGTCACCGTCTTTGGGCCCATTGGGCCGTGTATCGTGTTGGAATCTAATAGGGATATGTCCATAGGCCTAAGGTCGACCCTAGAATGCATATATTCAGTAGCCGTCATTGATTTAGGGTTGGGTTATGCTTAGATTACTTCTGCCATTGCAGTTTTGCCGTTAGATCGGTTTGTGGAACCCCAAATTCGAGTGCTTAATTATTCATATGCAGTTAAGTTGCTATCTACCTTGTTCTTGCTTGTGTTCTTTGATTTGCATGTAGGGATTAGCCTTCTCAGCGAGGTTAACCGGGTTTCAGATCGTGTTGATTGGAAGCCGGATCGTGTACGTCAAGTTTCCACCAACTCGAGACTTATCAATACCTATCGGACGATCAGGACCTAGTTTCTCATCAAGAAGTTCGTTCATCGACAACACTATTCATCTGGGCTCCATTACAAATAGTTCCTTTTTTCAAGAATTGTGGCACTTGGATAGCATGGACATGGTTGAGTTAAAACCGTGCAAACATTTATGACAAATAAGAGCTGGCAACATCACAGAGGCTTATTGGCTAGCCGCCGTTTCCCCATGGCAAAAGATTCTTTAGGCTTGTTTGTTGTAACAACATGGGAACCACCCTGCACAACCAACCAAATGAATCATCCACAATTCTTCATTTATGTCACTTATGTATGTCAAGGGGTGGACACTATATATATGGACACATATCGGATCCACAACTAGAAAAGGTCAAGCGAATGAACATTAAAGGATAAAATCACCTTTACTGTGGCAAAGGTCAAGTTGTTGGCATACTCAATTGTAAATGTGCAAAAAAAAAAAAGGGAAAGAAAAGCAATGCATTATCCTCATCAGATCAGGCAAACATGAAAAATAACATCAACTGAGAGTATATGAAAAAAAGAATTATATGGCTTAACCCTGCAGCCTGGCCATCCACATGCCATGCTCTCCAATCATTAGCTATGAAGAAGTTAAAGGATCCTATCCATGCCTGAGTGCTCAAAAATGGCAGTATGAGATCATGGTCACCGCTGCACTCACAGATCAACATCATTGTAATTTTAAGATATAGAATAATATTCAACATGTACGAATGATTCAGATAATTGATTTTTCTCCTTTGGTGATATTTCACCTCATCACAAGTGCTCGGTAACCTCTTGTGGTCAAATTAAAATGGTAATTCAAGCTGCTTGGGATGTCTTGAGCATAGGGAAGTACACCTTTATTGCATCTCAACCATTCATCGATGGTTCCCTGTAGCCATATTTGTGCAATTAGTGCATCAGTTTTGCTTACTTCATGTGCAAGATGATACATATATTCTACTATTATGTTTTAAGATTTGAAAAGCATTTCATATAAGGAAAGCCCCTATCTATGCCCATGTTTGTAAAGGCAGGACATATCATATGGTTACCTTCTTGATCTTAAGAGCATCTCTGGTCGTATTGTCATTCATCCAGCAGTATGATAGGTAGTAACGATATGACTGCATTCAATAAAGAAATAAGAAGAAAATTAACATTACAAAAACATGACGATGAACCCTGCAATGTAATGTATCTACACAACCTTCTGTCTAATATCAGTTGATCTTGGCTAACCATAGCCATGACCCGCATGAACGGCTCGATCCACCTAAAGACAATACGCTCCTAACAATGACGGCCGAGTCTTCAGGGGACATGGTCCACCCCGCTTGTCACTCACACACCTTCCTAAAGGGATTGCGCCATGACTGGAGATGCTTGTGCTTTCTATTTAACAGCCCGAGTCCTGCCAACGTCATATATAAAGAAGGGAATGGACTTGTATAATGAATGACGATCTCGTATATCCTTAACACTCCACTGAAAATCCTAAATCTATCCTTCCATCCTTAGAGGCAGCGGCTGAGACACCTCCTAGGCAGGTCGGGCAGCCGCCCGGGCTCCGTCGCTGCTCTCTCCATTGCCGTTAGACGTCGACGCGTATAAAAATCAATCGGTCACTAGGAAATGTTACTAGTCTCCTTAACTTTACGGCGGTGCTGGCTCCGCCACTGCTTAGAGGCGCTGGAAGGGACCCAAATTAAAGGACAGATCAAGGACATTGGAGAAGGATGGTTCAAAAGGACAACGATGCCCATAGCCATCTACCCGTGAGACAACGACGCCTTTGGCATCAAGCCAGTCTCCTGCCTCACCTACACCAACAGCAGAGTTGAGGCTAACAAGTGTGACCATATGGCATTCATGGCTTCATCTAATTGTGGTTGGTTCTATCACTTTATTCACCAATAGAATTGGTGATCTTGTTTAGGCTAGGTGTTTGTGGGATCAAAACTCAAATCTATTTCCTAGAAAATTCTACGTTCTTGAATCAAATTAGCACAATGGATCCATGGATAATACAGACTTACTAAGCAATCAATAGAAGGTCGAATAGGTGGCTTGTGTAGCTGATTGTATTCTTCCAGCAGTGCCCTGCTTGCTGAAACATCTATTGTGGGTTTTGGTGCAGCTTTAACACATTTATCCTCTAAGATATTTCCATCCGAAACTTCAGACATGAGCTACACATGGGATTTGTGCAGTAAGATAATACTAGATGAATATTAGTAAACATAGAAATTAGTACAGTGCAATAACCTTACTTTATGAATAGTAGACAAGACATTAGCACACAATTGGTTTGTTGGGTTCACAAAATGTCCTTTGCAATGTGTTACCGCTGCCTTCAAAGAGAAATAGGAAATGTTATGCAGTAGTGTTACCCCACTGAAATTGAGTGTTTAGATATGAAGTTACCTCGTACAATTGATCAGATATGATTCCAACGCCATGAGAATAGGGAACATGGAAATTTTTATCAAATTTTGAACCTGTAATGGGGTTGCCAACTATATATCCCTGTAACTGATTTCGTATTCAGGCACAAGAAATAGTAAGAGACATGAAGCCACATTATCGAAATTTTTATAAACTGTTTGAGAGATATAAAATGGCATGCCTTAAGGTCGATCCATGGTCGTTGCCTTTGTTCATCAATTGCTGGTGAGTAGGAAGAAAATAAGACAAGGTAAGAAACTAGCTAAAAAAATGTACCACGATCATTCATTGGCATGTAAACAAGTTGAACAGTTAAAAATATGGTGAGTCTTGTCACTCCCATGCGGCATAATTTGACTTCTGAGATTAGTTTGAACTTTTAAAGAACAATTTTATACATATTTGAAAGAACACGACAGAGGTTCTAAAACATATGGTTATAACTGCCAATTAGTTTATCATCTAATTCATTTTAGAGTATGTGAAGTGTATCACTGATTACCTTCTGAAATGTATTGCGTGATAACTGGAACCACCTTTCCAGCATATGAGGTTCCCCCAACATAGAAATTATGTGAGCAATAGCGTGGGTGATCATTGAGCCACTACATTAGTATGCACAAGATGATAATTAAGTAATAAACTAGAACACAAAGGCATAGTGTTTTTTCCATTCTTACTATACTAGGGTATGTAATATGCTTCTAAATTTATTACCTCCTTCATAAATGTAACCACTTGTAAAGAAGATGATATATCCCCAACATCATAACCGTTGGGATCACGCGCATATGAGAAACCAGAACCGACAGGACTATCCAAGAAAATTATGCTTGCCATCTGATAACAGTAAATTTGAATCACAAATTACTAAGTAAAAACAAGGTTGAAAGGAAGTTCATGAGGGTTTCGGAGTAGGATATATATCACCTGTGTCCATGAGTACTGATTATAAACCAATCTTGGCGAACTACCATTGTAAGTTTCCAATAAAAAATTCAAAGGACCTGTAAAAAATCATCACCAATCACTACACTGGCCAAGGTCACCTGTGACGGGCCCAAACCCTCATCTTTGACGGCTTCGCGCATGGTCAGTGATCAGTGGTCACTGGTGAGTCCAGTCACCTTTGACGGGTGGCCGGCCGTCACAGGTGACACCCACCTCTGACGGGCAAGTTACTAGAAGGCCGTCAGAGGTGTTGGTCTCCGCTAGCCTTGAGCGAGTTAGGACCCGTCACAGGTGACTCATCTCTGACGGCCCTTTAAATAAAGGCCGTCAGAGGTTGAGGTCTCCGTAGTTAGAAGCTGTCACAGGTGATCTACCTGTGACGGCCCCAAAAGTAAAGGCCCGTCACAGGTAGGTCACCTCTGACGGGCCTTTATTTGCTAGTCCGTCACAGGTTAGGTTACCTTTGACGGATTTTTGTTCCGACCCGTCACTGATGAGTTAATTCCAGAAAAAAAATAAATGCTAAATATTGGCTAGCCTCAGGATTTGCTAGCCATGCCCTCTGAAACACAGATACATTACACATATATTCTAGTCACAGATACATCACCCCCCCAATATAACATCACAGATCCATCTCAAACATCACAGATCCCCAACAACACATATATGCAGTTCAAATGCCACAATTTTGCACAGCAAATTCACCACCCTTGAAAGCCACAATTTCGGTCATTGCTCATAGAACCGCATATATACTTACCAAATGGATTAAAGCCATAATGTACTCGACCTCCACAACCTGTCAATAAGGGAAAAAAAAAAGGAGAAAACTGTCACGTCCTGATAAATTCATCCCGAAATAAAAATCATTTTCTAAAAGGAATAATAGAATTAATTAAAATTCGAAAAGAAATTGGCAAACACTAAAATACGTACAAGAAAAATTCAAATGTGGCCCGGAGAATTTTTGTTAAATTCTCCTTGGTCTAAAAGGAGCCCTCAAATTTTAGTGGAATTTTCAGAGCACAAATAATAATTATTAAGAAATAAACAAAGTTAAAATGGTTTTATAAAAAGAAAAATCCTAAAAAGTCTTTTTCCCCCCCTCCCCCTCTTGGGCCGGCTCGGCCCATCTCCTTCCCTCTCTCTCCTCCTCCCCGCGGCCCACTCGGCCTCTCCCCGCGCGCGCGCCGCTGACGGGCGGGCCCGCCCGCCACCCTCGCTGACGGGTGGGGCCCACCCGTCATCGCCTACCTCGCGCCGCTCCCGCCGCCCGCCCGTGCCCTAGCGCCGCCGCCGCCGCGGATTCCGCCGCATCCCGCCGTCCCCGCGCGCAATAAAGTGGGGGGAATCATTCCCCGTGATTCCCTCTCCGTTTTCCCCCGATTTTTTTCCCTCTCTCTCTCCCTCGGATTCGTTCGGATTTAATCCCGCAAGTTTCGCCGGCGTCATTGATGGAGCCGAGATCTCCGCGGCCGATTCCTCCCTCTCCGGCCGCTCTCTCCCTCTCCCGACGCTATATAATTGTTCCCCGTGCCTCCCTCCTCCGTTTCCGCCACTCGCCGCTCGCTCTCCCCGTCGGATTCGTGCTCGCGCCGTCCTCCTCTCTCTCCGCCGTCGCCGCCGAGCTCCGGTTCGCCGCCGTCGTCGCCCCGGACTTCCTCCCGACTCGGCGTCACCTCCATCGGCTTCGCCGCGTCGTCGTCGGCCTCGTCCGCTCCTCCGTTTCGCCCGCCGACCGCCGGAGCACCGTCGTCCTCGCCGTCCCGAACCGCGCCGCCGCTTTCCTCCACTCCGGTCGTCGTTTCCGCCGTCCTCGTCGTCCCGGGGTGAGCCGTGGACCGCCCCTTTCGCTTCCCTCTCTTCTCCGCTCTCTCGGGCGCCGCTCCGCCGCGCCGGTGGTCGCCGGCGGTGACCATCGGGGCGCGGGCGCGCCGTCTCCCGTCGGCCGTGCCGACGAGGCCGCCTTCGGGCGCGCCCCGCGGCTGCCAGGTGGGGCCCGGCCGTCAGCCGCCCGCGCCCGCGGGTGCGGCTGACGCGTGGGACCCACGGCGCCGGCCGGCGTCAGCCGCGTGCCCCCGGTCCACCGTGGACCGTGAGGCTGACGCGTGGGCCCCACTCCCGTGGACCCGGTCCGCGCGCCCTCTCTCCCGGCTGACGCAATAAATGAGTTTTTAAATTAAAATTTAAATGAAGAAATTTCGTAAATATCCATTTAAAGAGCATATAAACTTCAAATGGCCATAACTTGGCCATTTGAACTCGGAATTGGACCGTTCAAGTCTCTAATTTTTCCTTAAGAAGTCAAGAACCCATTTTTGTGCTTTGTTCCTGCTTGTTGTATGGAGTTTATTAGAGTAAAAGCCTTTTCTTTTCCGTTGGTCGTGTAGACGCTGCAGCTTCGGAAGATCCGCTCTTCGTGGAAGTTGAAGCCGACGTTTGGGAAAGCGAGCAAGGCAAGTCACATCATCCTTGAGCATATTGAATCCCAGTTTACAAAATTATTTTAATTTAAATTAATGCATTATCGCTTTATTTAAATTCCCGCGTTTTCACTGTTTTATTTAGCCATGCCTATTTACCTTTGTTATGACCTTATTATTATTGTTATTGTTATTATTACCTTGTTCACCCTAGGAAAATAAAATCCCAACTAGTGGTTACTCTATTTATGGTTCCACTAGTATGAACTTAGGTAGATGCTTCGCTGGTTAATTAGGCAACTTTAGGTGGTGTTATAACTTTAGACTTTGGGAATTCTCATATCATTTGGACACTATGGAATGGTTGGCTTATGTTGGAATTGGACACACACCTCCCCCTCTTTTCAAAACCCCCAAAATGGTTTAGGCTGGGCTCGAGGTGCGTGGTTGGGTTTTGTTAGTCGTACCTCGGGTACTATAAGGATTAAGCTTGGGCCTCTGTTGCAAAGCACTACCGTACTTCCACATGTCTAGTGGGTAAGGCTTAGTTTGTGGCTCAGCCTGGTTATAAACAAAAGTACACGGATTGGAGATGGATGAAGTCGGGGGTCGATGGACATTCTCCAGGGCAAATGAAGGCTACACGAGCTGCGGCCCGGTAGTCGAGATGTCATGGCAGAGGGTTGGTGCCCTGCTGCTAGGGGCTCAGTCCTGCCTGCCTGTCCCGGAGGTTCCGGCCGTAGGTGGGATTGGGTCGGTACTCTTGTTTATGGCTAGGATGGGTTGGGAACTATGTCACGTCTTCCGTCCGTATACCGTGGTGGTATGTGGCACGTGGTTACACGTGAGGAAGACGTGTCTTGTGGGTAAAGATGTACACCTCTGATCAGAGTATAATCTATTCGAATAGCCGCGCCCTCGGTTATGGGCAAGCCGAGCAATGTACCCAAGTCAGTGTTTTAATTCTTAAAATTTGCTCAACAACTAAAATGTGGAATGGTTGGCCTGGGTTGGCTTGGGACGAGCTGGGACCCAGGGTCGGGTTGCCAGTTCGGTCTGAATCATCGTAGGCCTTGGGTTAAGGCAAGTTCGTGAGGGTTCACGGCCTTGTTTAATAATACTGTGTAGCTCTAGGATCGTCTTTATGAAATGGCTTTGGGCAACTAAGTGACTTTTGAATGCTGTTTTCTGCAAAACCTAACCCTTATATTATCACCCCTTGTACCCCCTTACATTAATTATGCATCTCCGGTGTGGCTTGCTGAGTACTGTGGTTGTACTCATTCTTGCTCAATCTTTTCCCCCCTTCAGTAAGAGAAGCTTTGGAGAAGAAGTCTTAGGTGGAGTCCTGGCTTATACCCCAGTTGAGCGCCTGTGAAGATGGAGCCGTAGGCCCGCTAGTCCGCTGCTGTTTATTTTTGTTTGTCAGGCCTGAAGTGCCTTTGTAATAATGTAAATATTATCGATATAATAAAGATGTGTCTTTTATATCATGTTTGTGTGGTGTACCCCGGCTTTTCCTGGGACGGGGATTAATACACTGGCGTTCGGGAAAAGGCAATTTTCCCGGTCGTGACAAGCTGGTATCAGAGCCATCTCGACTGTAGGATAAGCCAAGTGGATAAAACCTAAGGACATATTTTATAAATAAAACTATTTGCGAAAGTTCCTCTTTTTCTTCTTCCCCTAATGCTATTTGCAAAAGGTTTACTCTTTTCTTCCTTCTTCAAATTTCAACTAGTACTAGATGGTTAGTTTTGCAAAGAAGAAGATGTCGTCAATTGTCTGCCGAAGCTCCAGAAGGCTGCAGGATCCGCTAGCGAAGTGGAGGAAGCAGTGAAGCCAGCTGAGAAGAAGCAGTGAAGATCTTGGAGAACCCGTCACAGAACCTAAGCCACCCTCTAGGGTAGAGTCGTTAGTCGTGTGTTTCCTTGCTTGTGTGTGTAGCGCGTGGTTTGCATCGGTGGGTGGTGATGTAACCATGCTAGGTTGTTTGCTTAATCAACTTGCAGAATAAGCCTAACATACATCATAACAGCAAAAGACTTAGATCTGTTAAGGTCCTATCCTTAGTTTCTAATCTGTCTCTCCCCTTTGCTTTCCCTCTCTCCCTCTCCAAACCTTTGCAACAGATGGCTGACAATGAGAAAGACAATAAGGTCAGAAGTCAGGACATTGGTACCTCAAGCCCCCGAGTGAATGAAGCACCAGACACCAGTTGTGTGACACTGGTTCAACACCTGATTAACCAGAATCGATTGCTTATAGAGATACTACAGCAGCATCAGACGCCAATTCTGAACCTGAGTCAAATACAACCTCAAGTGCAGTTGGAGGCAGTCCAAGCACTCACACCACAAGTCAGCATGCCGCCAGCATCCCGAAGGACCCATGGTGACGTGCCACATGTTGACTCAAAAGAAGCAAGTATCATTTGTTTTAGGTGTGATGAGCAAGGGCACTATGCAAGGGAGTGTCCTCAGCAGAAAAGAAAAACACCCATGCGAACCGAAGATGAAGTCCGTAAGATGATCATTACCAGCACAGAATGGCCTCCACTAGGAATGACAAAACGTCAAAGAAGAAATACCTTCCGAGGTGCACCACAGTTGACAGAGCATCTTTTAGCT